AAAAGCTCTAATGATAAAGAAAACCCAGTCAATATGACTGGCATAAGTACAGCTGTAAGATTACTGACGTATCTAGAACGACTTGAATGACTTGGGTGACTATGGTGACTAGGATGTGTGATAATTATAGACCAATATCAGTTCTTCCAGTATTAAGTAAAGTTTTTGAAAAATGTATTTATAATCAACTTATATCTTATTTTTCGTCTGAAATTATCATTACTCCTACTCAATATGGGTTTAAGCCAGGCAGTACCACTGTGGACTGTCTTGTTGATCTCATTGAAGAAATCTCTACCTCTCTAGATCAAGGAGATTATGCTGTATCAATATTTTTAGATTTGAGTAAAGCATTAGATACCGTTAATCATTCGATTTTTTTTTATCAAAGCTATCGTTCTATGGCATTCAAAACCCTCATATCGACTGGTTCAAATCGTATCTCAATAAAAAGAAAGCTGAGAGCTTTTGTAAATGGTAACATCTCTGACACCATGCCAATTTCTTCTGGTGTACCTCAAGGATCAATTTTAGGACCGTTGTTATTTTTGATATATATAAACGGCTTCCTGTGGTATCACACTGATCTTTTTGGTATATTTTCTTGTTTATCCCCAGTTTATGGATGTGGTTTATTCAAAAGGGCCACCTCTTACAAACATATGGAGTATCAGTGCTGTTAGGTGTTGGTGGATCCACGCTTCCAGTTAATGCCCTGACAATGTTAGCAGATCTTATTGGGGAGAATGTGGTACGTGTGTTTGCCTGTTGAAGGCGTTGTGATAAGACGAGTAATAGAGAACTTAGATGAGTTACAGTTAAGACCCGCGATTAAGAACCTCGTTTTTTTAGAACCTGTCATGCTAAAGATTTGCCGGTTAGGCCCCCTCTATTAACCCTAAAATTTGAAACAGTTTCTTGTTTTCTAAAATCTATGTTAAAAAAATCTTTACACTTGGGCAAACAAGATACGTCAACATTCAGTATCCTCTTTGGAGACGGGAGGGTGCTTATTACTCCACCTGCAATGTAATGGACTGTATGCAGGTTTTACATAAGGAGTGAGTTGAATACCACCAAATACTCTTAGCTAGAATGTATTCATTTCTTTTGAAAATAAGAACCTATTTAAGACCCTAAATAGCCTAAATTTTTGCTCCTTACCATTTATGTAAGAATCTGTTTAGGCTAACGTGGGAAAATGCAAGGTTCTTAGTCGTGGGTTTTTACTGTATGTTATGATGTTTTGCCACGAGAATCAAATATAAGCCTGACATAAAGGTTTAGTTTCATTTAAAATTACACTAGAACTAAACCTCAACTAAATGTGCATGTCTTTGCCTTTCGATGGCCCGGATGGAAACGGATTGCAACTTGAAATATTTGCGCCAACGTTTTCAAGTTTAGCAAACTGATCATAGTTTGTTTTCCCTTTTGTGTTGTTCATATCCTTAGCACTATCTAACTTTGTAGACTATCTCATGAATGTATGGGTAACGACCGAATCAAAGTGTTTTGAATTCAGCATATTGCACATAAAATGTTCTAATATTGTTATTTCGGATTTGACAGGAAACAGGTGCCTTTATGTATGGAGCCATGAGTTTTACCGATAAATTATCCAATGGAATCGCAGTTCAGCTGATCCAGATATTTCATCCTTGCAATTCTTTGGGAGAGTAAGTATATATTTTTTTGACAACTTGCCGTTGTGAGTGAAAGCGGGTGTATACTCATGTGAACATATAACTGTATAATAGTTCAGAGGACAAATCGTAAAATGTAGTCAGTTAGACAGTCCATTTACTTAGAAGACTTAGGCAGAGGAAGCTATGGTACATGAGACAACGTTGTACCCTTTTTTTGTACGACAGAGTGAAAAGCAGTTTGTCGAATACTGTTTCCAACATTGTTCACAACACTTTTGTGATTTTTTTAAATTGTGTGCACGTTGAACGCAGCATTGTCAACAACAGTTTGTACGTGTAATATTTTGCAGAACACTGCACATTATTTGAATTTTGCCCACATTTTGCGCAACACTGTAAACCACAGTTTGCAGACTATTATATACAATATAGTGCACAACATTTTTGCATAACTATGATTTGTGCGACACTGGATAACAGTGCGTGCAAGGTTGAGCGTATCATTGTCGACAACTGCTTGCACAACATTGTGTTTAACGTTTTTCAAACACGGCACAACATTGTGATAAACAGTTTGTATAACGTTGCGTGCAATGTAACGCATTGTGAATCCTGTTCACATTTTGCGCAACATTGTGAACCACAGGTTGCACATTACTATGTACAATATAGTATACAACATTTGTGCGACACTAAATAACACTGTGTGCAAGGTTGAGCGTAACATTGTCGACAATGGCTTTTACAACGTTGTGTTTAACGTTTTGCAAACACTGCATAGCATTGTGATAAACAGTTTGTATAACGTCACGTGCAACGTAATGCATTGTGAATTTTGCACAATATTTTGTGCAACATTATGAAAAACAGTTTGTTGCACAAATATGTGAAGTACAGTGCACTACGTTTGTGCAAAATTTTACATGTATAGCATTGGGAAAAACGTTGAGCTCAATATTGTCAAACGTGAAAAATATAGTTCCAATAATTGTGCAACATTGTATAACGTTGGGCGTAACTTACTTTGTGAGCAACGTTGTCGCAAATCTGGTGTGCAATGTTTGCACAAAAGACCGGCTACATACCTAACACTGCTTGAACGCAGCGCTGTACGCAACGAAATCAATGTACAAAAATGCGCGAAAGACTCCTGTGCGTAGCATTTTGCACAGCATTTGCATCATCATATGAAAAAGGGCATTAAATTTCGCGATTTAAGCGTTCTCAATTTCATTTATTTTTTAAAAAAGTCTGGCCCTTTAAAATTTCTTGATAAACTGGAACAAGCAATGTATGCAATCTTTGCAAACCAAAGCTATTTCACAACTGAAGATACAAAATGGAGTTTACCAGTAAAACCAGTTAGCAATTTGCTTATTTGTCAATACATGATCCTGTATATGCTGTGCTATTACAAGTTAATTTTGATTTGAATTTCCTATGTAGGTATTAAATTTCGCGGGTTTTTGATTTCACGATTTTTTTTACAATTACGAACAACGCGAAAATATAAAGGGTTTAGTTTTATCGTTTGTCTCACGATTGTCACTTTGATATTGATCACGACGTTTCGACCACACACTGCAGGTCTTCATCAGGTGATAGTGTTGATTTACTGAGTCGAACTATTTGTACCATCGTGGTTGTTAGTGATTGGTGTATCACAAACCTCGCTCATGATTGGTGGGTTTCGATCCAAAGAATTGTTGGCATTGTGAGAGGAAGTAACTGATCCCTCAGCGGTCCACTGGGGTAGAGATCGGTTGCCATGTTGTCTGATTGTAGGCATCCACACGTAAGGAATTTCAATTCCACTGTCCCAACGCGGAAATGGTAACAAAAATGGCTTCTTGGACCAGTTGGTGAGTGTTCGTCTTGGAGAGGTTTTCGTTTTATAGAGTCAAAGACCCTAAAAAAGCGGGAACCGTTATTTTACTGTTGGTGTTAATGCATGGGAGTTTTTGACTATACTTATTTAGCTGGATGTCATGGGAAATAAACGAGTAATGGCAGTATGCAATGCCGTATACAGAACTGATGTAGCTCCAGCTAAACAAATGGTGCTTTTAATGTTGCTTGATCTTTCTTGCATTTTCGTTTTCATCCCAGTAAAAGCAAAGTTAATGCCATGGGATTGAGAATAAGGAGTTCCTCGATCATGGCTTGAAACTCCAGTCGTCTCTTGTCGCCACCTTCTTTCCTTCAAGAAAGCCGCGTTTTTGGGTTACACCAGAAAGGGATGATAAACCATGCCCAACTCACTGTGCGAAGAAGAAAATGTTTTGGAAGTCGTTCAGCTGAGGTTGATGTTGATAAAAACGACTGTCCGATGTGAATGTGTTGGCTTTGAATCTGAACGTATTTGGTCTACCACGCCTTGACCACGAATCGCTTGGTTTCCTTGGACACGGAAACGTGACATTACACGTTGTTGTTGTTTCTACAGTGGCCATAATGGCACCTCGTCTCCGTGAAGTTATGACCCTGACATTTTCCACCATTGAACTTTCCTAACATGGCGTTTTCTTGTAATGTCGCGCGGTTTCGACACATACGGAATCGATGATTTCTAAATGCCGTTGAAGATTCATACTGTCCGCTATGAATTGACTTCAACTTCAACTCTTAGATAGATAGATAGATAGTTTATTAAAATATCGAACATGGCAGTCCGTAGACTGAATTGCGTTACAATTACTTAAAACTAAGAATAAATAAATTCCAAAAAAATAAATACTAATTGAAATTATAACAAAAAACATTTCTATAAAAAAAGCGAAAAACTCTCTAAATATAACTATGTACAAACTAGTCTAAAAATTTATGTACACATACTTGGAATAAAAGTGTTCTTAAAACGATTTGTATGTGTACGGGGCATGGCATAAGCCCTGGACTGTCTTAGATTATGTCTGTGTTCTCTCTTAGGAGGTAAGACAGGCACGAGTTTGAGATCCGGGCATGACGTGATAGACTCGAAAAGCTTGCTACACAGAGCCACGCGTCTAGCGTGCAAGGTTACTAAATCGAACCTGATCTTGTAATGTCTTTGACTTTCGATTTCATTTTTTCTTTCGGTCACATCATAGACAGCTCAGGTCAGGCCTCAGAGCTTAAAGGCCCTTAAACTAGGCAGGTCAGGATAATAAGGATAATTGTTATTTTATTTGGTAATTATTTTTTGTAATCTTGATGCTATTGATTCTGCTTGGCTGCACTTTGCTTGTAACCGCAAAACATACCTCACTGCTTCACAATATGCCTTCCTTTGCTATTTGCTGATCGTTGCTGCTTTAACCGGCGCGTTTTTTGACTTCAATACATGTTGCATGTTGCTATTCTCATCCACTGATGTGGTTTCAGCCATGGAGGTATGCACAGTCCAGGGAGTGGAAACACCACAGCTTTGCCGACTGGAGTCGGTCATCATCATCATCATCCACACATGTACGAGTGTGAAATCAAAGCTCATTTTTACTTAATACTAGTTATTTTAATTTTTCCTCCGAATTTCCAGACCAGAATGATTCAGAACTGTAGTGAAAATTTTATGAAACAATTTCATAGATCTATTCCTTCAATATGAACCGCATACTGATTCATAACGCAAAGAAAATCGAGTTACCCGCATGAACACGATTTAGGAAACGTAGTTGGGGAAAATTTGGAACAATGTGCGTATTGCTTGAACGTTCCCGGCTGCACCCCTGAAAATTCGCAATTGTCTTTTTTTAGGGACTGTTCATTTTTTTTTTGTCAGGTAGCGGGGGCGGGGGGGGGGGGCATGAAAGAAATATGGCTTGAAAAGGGAGGTCAAAAGGAACGAACATTGAGTTTAAAGGGGGGGGGGGTCATCACCAAAAAATTCGTTCAAATTTTGCAGTGACGGCATTTGTAATAATGCAAACAGCTTACCAGAATGCCAAAAACCAGCGTTCTGACATTCAGAAATTTCAGATTTTCAAGGGGAAGCATGCCCCTGGACCCCCTACTTTATTAGGCAACAAAAGGCAATTCTACCTCACTAACATGCAGAAAAGCATAAAAGAATACCAAATCGAACGTTTTATAAGGTAAAAATAACAAATTTTCATTTCTTTCTTTGTTCGGTCTCTCTTTCTTTTTTTTTTCTTTTCTCTTTTTTCTTTGGTGGGGGGGAGGGGTCTTCTCTATAAATTAGGGACACATTGGTGCGGGGGGGGGGGTGGGTGCGCCCAAAAAACTTCTCAAGAAGAGGGGGGGTCATCATATACTACAGGAGCTACCCGTCGAATCCCACCAGCCCCCCACCCCTCCCCCATTAAAAACGAACGGTCCCTCAGACTAAAATCATTCGGTAACTTCTCGTTATTTTAAACTGGACAAACCTCTCCTGCTAGTCTTTTGAAACTTGAACAAGTGTCTCTTTTTTTATGAAAGTTGCACGTCCGCTGGAATTACTTGATTCATTTTGTGCCCCATACAGACAAGGAGTAATGTTAGGCTATTTAAGGCAAATTTCGTAAAATTGAAACTAATCACAGGACAAATTGATTGCGAAGACGTGTCGCCGTTGTTAAGCGCGGGAAAACGCGCTTAAGTCACGATTGGTTTTAATGTGACTTTTGATTGGTTAAGTAACACGAGATTTTTCAGCCAATCACAAAACTTAGAAGTGCAAGACAGAAAAAAAGAACGAAATTACTATTGCCTCGCAACTGAAAGCCGCTCTGTAAATCCCCAGAGTATTTAATAACCCAACTAAACTATATTTTTTTAGCGGCATGTATTTTCTGGCTTTTGTTGAGAGTGAAGATAACCAGTGGTGTTATTGAGGGTTTAAAGGGGCTATGCCACGAGGGTATTGCTCTTCTAGGTCAATTCTGTGATTAAGTCATTACTTCGTGCCTTTATCCTCCACACAACTGGACTTCCGACCTGTAGAGGTACAAAAAAGATACCAAACAAATTTCCATCAAGGAGAGCTAACCATAATAATTGAAAATATTAATAATAATAATAATAATAATAATTGGCTCATGTTTTTCAAGTTTCAATCCATGTCCATGCTGACCATCCGTAGCAACAGATGAACGACAGGAAACAGTTTCAATACTTACCGTAAATCCTACATTAAGCCCCCCTCTCTAATAAGCCCCCCCCTTTCAGAGGAGGAAAGTGAATAAGCCCCCCTCCCCCTCCCCCCTCCCCCCCATCCTTATTCTTCGCAAGCAATTAACGTGGACTGATCAGCTATGGTTTATTCAGGCTGGAAGTTCATCTTGTTTTTGGTCTTCAGCCGCATGACCTCCAACTGCATGTGCTTAACTTTTTCAACTTTACGCTCTAGTTTTCTGCGGGGAATTGTTGCCATTTCCTTATTGTCAGAAAAAAGCAGTATAACGCCCAGGAATCACCAGTCCGTCCTCGAAAAAGCTTGCTTCCGTCGGTGAAAATTCTAAGCTGCAACCTTCACGAGATAAAAATTTACACAGCAGGCGAGAGAAGACGCGTTTTAACTTTTTATTAAGAAGCAAATAGCGTGACAATAACTCCTTTAATTGTTCAAGGTCGATTTAATTAATTAGCTCCATGGTTCTTTTCAGAGCATGTTGCCCTAAATGTCATCTATACTACAGAGAAGTTATGGTATGTGTCACCGGCGGAGCCACTGTTATTTCTCTGCTGGTTCTTTTAACGATGCTTAAGACAAAGATTGGTGAATTTAAAGGCGAGTTTAAAGGTTAGTCAGTTTTTCACCTTTCATTGTTAATTCATGCCAGTCCCTGTTGCAAACTGAAGAGTAGGAAAAGCATTGTGTGAAACTGAAAAGCAGAAATATCCCGTGACACTGTTTTGTGGAAAGCGGTCAATATAAGTTCAAGAATATAACGTAAACCTTTCAACCGTTTGCCGTGATTTGTAAGCTGCATTTGTCACTTTTGGAACGAGGAAACTGGGCCCAGTTAACTTTCGCAAAGGTTTCTGGGACTGTTAGCAGGGACGGGGGAAAATATTGGCCAATCGCTGACCGATTCTAACTATCCCAGAACCAATTGTGGGACTCCTTTCGGTTCCAGTCCCATTCTCGTTTATAAAGTGGTAAATCGCTTTTAGACAAGTTTCCAGTGAAAGTCAAGTGCTATTCGTTTGCATTCTTTGTTGAAAGGTTTTATATGTGACAGTAGAATCAAACACAAGAGTGTATCTTTAATTTTAACTGCTAGAATATTCATCTGCCTTTCTAACCACGAAGGGTCCGCTGGTACTACGTGGCCATTTTAAAATCACCCGTAACTGATGGCGGTAATATTTCCTTCCTTGACTCTGAGATTGAAAATGAGTTCACCTCTCTCCGTTCATCGCCCATCGATTGTTAACCGTTTTTTGTGTCAGGAAACGTTCGCGGTAGATTTTTCTCAGTAGTTGTAAGAGGCCAGTTAGGCGCCTTTCGCTTTTGAGGGTATTCTTCATCTAAGGCTCAACTGGTGAAACACGTTTAACGAAAAGCAATGTTTACTGTTTCCTCTGGCCTTTCTTTTTGTTATCATCCTGTGATTTTTCCGTACACTGGTTTTAGGGGATAGGAAATGTGCGTTTAGCCATCCCTCCCCTTCCTCTTCCCTCTCTTTACGTTTGTAACCCTTGCAGAATGACAGGTTATGAAATGGATGTTTAGAAAAATGCATGCTGAGGACCGCTTGCTCGATATTCTTACCCGTTTCCTAACTATTGCAATTTTGTATTGCAAGATGGCGCTGTGGTAGACGTGACCGTTCAAGATGCGCTCCTCAGTAAGACTGCCTCAGTTAGCACAAGCTGCTCTAAGACAACTGGATCATCCAAAAGCCCGTGTCTAATGTATGAGCCCACCACCCCTCCCAAATACGGGTCATTGAATGGCACGTGTCAGAATATACCATGCTCAATACAAGAGGATTATTCTAGCTACGATGAGACCACGCCGTCGCCAAAAACGTCCCGGTGACGCTGTGAAGAAGATGATACGCCTAGTACTGTGCTGAATGTGTTCTCAATTAACGATCCCCTGATATAGAAGCAGAAACTCGGTTTGCCCTCCTATGAAAGGTGATTGTGGTTGAGCGAGGTGAACTAAAGACTGGTTCCGTTCCATTGTTCACTCCTGCTGGAATGAAAGGATTTCTTGACTATACAAGCTCAGCTTGTCAGTCCGCTTTAAGAAAGGCGACTGTGTTTGAGCGAGATGAACCGAAGAACTGATCCACCGCCCTTTGATCCCGGAGGCCTTTTTCAACGAAATGCCAATAGCTGTTAAAACTGAGCGCTGGAAACGATCCCCTGATTGCAGAACTCACTTTGTCCGCCTTAGTATAAAGGCAACCACGTAGATTTTCCTAGTTGTTAGAACGCCGTTCTTAACAAGCAGCAAATAATTCTGAAAAGAAACGAAAATTTTTTATAGTATTGAAACGGAGAAATATAAATACTTGTTTTTAGCTGGTCTTGTTAACGGTCGTTCGATTGTCCGTTACCAAGAAAAGGCAAAGCAAGAGAGAGAACGAAGAAGGTAACAAATTTCATTTTGAAAAAAAAAACTAAAACTAAAATAAAATGTATTGACAAGTAATCGTTAGCAAATAACGGTGCTTCGTTAAATAATTCATTTGAATCATTACACTTCACTATTTCATCCATATACTGAAAAGCAAGAACAGCTTCGCGCGACAGTGTGCAAAAAGTGGAAGAATATTTTTTTTACCTCAAGGTGAAAAAGAAGACACTTTTCAAGGACATACTGAGCTGTTATCTATCGGAATCAAGTTGTCTCAGTCAGTGTTACTCAACATTGAAACTTGAATATTTAAATATTTTAAATTAAAGATATTTCCTGACAGAATGTTAAAATGTTAATTTATTTATACGTAAAAAATAATGGGGAACTGGAAAAAAAATTATTTAGTTCACTAAATCAAAGAGAAATAGAATTAATTAGCTCTTTTGTCACGAGAATTGTAAGTGATAATGATAAAGACTTTAGTGAGACTACTTCAATTCTGTAAAATTTTTTGTAAATATTTTAAAGAAATAAGCTACTTTTTCAATAAAATGAACTTGACGATCTCAATTTGCAAGCTTCCTTCACCTTATAACGTTGTACTGCAGCTTAGTGAGAAATACCTTAAAATGACCACGGATAAGCAAGAATTGCAGACTACATTATGATACAAATAATGTTGTGGAGTGTGGCCCTTTCTATATCGCAAATGGTGCAAGCGAAAATTAACTCTCACTGATTCCTTGTAATATGGCTTACGTTCATTGTCGGTTGAGATTCTAGTTTTTAAAATATATACTCATATTCCCTGTTCCACCATCTAATCTTAGGTGTTACGCGGTTTTACATTTATATGTGCCCTCCATGGTCCTTTGCTCCAATGGTCTCTTTGATTATCAGCCTATAGTCGACCATAATCACCGGAGGTTCGAACTTTTGCCTTCTATCTGATTATCAGACCAACGGAAAACAACATTCCTTTCTCATTGTTTTAAATGACCAATCAATTGTGCAAAAAGAACAACAGTACATCTAGCCCTTCTTTTCTTTCCTTCACTAATGTTATGCAGGTTTCTTTTTGCTTCTTATTTTGCCTTTTCATTGTGGTTCCCGAGTAATTATCAGATTACCCCAAGGTTTTCCATTTGGAAAGTACAATGTGATTGGCTCAGCAGGCGTTTGTGGGGAGGGAAGGAAACCGAGCTCCCTTCCCAGGTTCCCAGTTCTCGGCTCGACAACGGGGCAAGAGAGAACGCCTTGGGACTAGGCTGACAATGGCTGAAGCTGACTGGGAAGTTCCGGGATGATCTCTAGCTCTTACCACTCAGAGTTAACCCTATCTTCCACAAATTGTGATTCCTGCATGAAGGAAACAGATTCGATCGGTTAACGACCAGTTTTCTTCACAATAGCTTACTCAGTCTTCTCGCTGTTCAACAAAGTGGCGATAGTGGTGAGATCAGTTGCGTACTTTGCAAGTAAAAAGGGCGCTGTTTCGACTGTAAGAGATTTTTGCGTAGTAATTGTCTGAACGCTCAGGAGCCGGTTTGAGATGATGTGTTCCCAAGTTGTCAAACCAGTCGAACAGTTTCAAACGCTTGAAGTAGTTCCCCAAAGAAATCTTAGAAACTGAACTAACCAGAACTAATATAGGGGTCCAGTGAGACTTCAGTGTTAATTCGAAAGGCGGCAGAGAACCCAAAGAAACCCACGCAGGCGGAGGAGACCTTTATGAGATGAAAGCCGAGATAAGCGCATTGTAGCTTGCAGTGTTGGCGTATGTTTTCGGGCGCCCAAGCGCTCAGTTTTTAAAAGTAGAGGCAGATTTGGTTGGGAGAAATGAGAGGGGAGGGGGAGAAAAACTTCATGCAGGAAACTCTAATGGGATTAGAGTGCTCTCCAATCCCCCTCCCCCTCCGGAAAACACCTGCACACAGGCCTTGAATGTACGTTCGTTATGTCAATCACTAGTTACTAGCTCTCGGTGAAAGGACCCTGGGAACGAGGTCTTCTCTGTACCGTAAAATTGACGCCCACTCCCAAATAAACGCCTCTTATCTAATAAACACGCCCTCTACGCTGTTAAAATTTTATTAGACGCCCTTCTCTAATAAACACTCCCGTCTAATAGACTGCCCCCTATGAGAATTACTCCACAATACAAGGAGTTAGGAAAAGCAGCAAAATCATTCAATTCATTCAGTTTCTTGCTTGATTAACGAGGCTTTGTGTATTTTATCCTGTTCAATGTTAAGTCGGTTGGTTTTTCATTTAGAGACGCTTTGTGGTTTTCGCAGTGATTTTGTTTATGCGAAGTTTTATGAGGTCAATATTATAATTCGACCTTCTTGCTATTTTCACCGTCAAGTGTAATGATTCTGTTAGCTTTCCTTTCTTGTTTCATTGTTTTCTTTTTTCTTTGTTAAGGACCAAATAGCTTCTTTTCAATTAAAGGAAATTGTTGTGTTTTTGAACTAAGTGTTCCGTATGTTACCCTAAAATCGAGATTTCTTATTTTAAGAAAAAATTTAAAACTAATCACAGAATAAGATTTTGTTCTCCTAAATTCAAATCTACCTGTTTAAATTACAGAAAAAAGAGTTCTTATCCTATGATTTGTTTTAAATTATCGTGAAATAAGAAAACGTTTTCTTAAATTGAGAGATGTGTATTTATTTCTTTGCGTGATTGCGACCGAGTTTGATTATTGAATTACAATAGGTTCAGAGTTATTCACTACTGCATGCAGTTGATAGTTTGAACGTTTAACGTGAATTACGATCGAAAAGAGAAAAGCAATTCTGTATCCTGTAGACATTTCCACACGATATTTCTTCGTTTGCCACTTGAAAATCGTGCTTTACTTTTTGTATGAATTAAAGCAAAGTAGTAGTGACGGCACTGACGGCCGGTCGATTCAGACGTCACTGAGGGAGCTAATAACGACTCGAAGTAATCGGATGAAATTCAGGCTAATTAAAAGGCTTCCTACAAAACAAACAAAAACAAAATATAATAATAAAAAAAAAACAAAAGGACACTAGGCCTATACATTACTTACTCTTTTCTCAAGTTTGATTCGTAGCACTGAGGTGGTCAAACTATCAAAACATTTTTGTGTTAAAACAAGAAAGCTTTTTTTTCGTTTATTATTATATTTTTATTAATTTTCTGGGCGCTTATTGTAGTAGGCAACTCGTGTTGATAATCATGTTTTCGTAGTGCCGCTAGCCTGAGATCGCTATTATCCTTCTATGTCCAGAAATAGTTATGTACCCTCAACAGAAAGACACCCGATCTAGTTAAAGTAGCAAGTAAAGAGCATAAACGAAAGGACAGCATTTTTTTAGTGTAACCGCCATTTTATTTTTGATTTTAATTAAACTATTTTCAATCTAGATCAGCTTCATTTGACAAACAATTCTTACTACAAGAAGTGCGCAACCCATCCTTGCCCAAAATCGTTTCTTAGTTTTGATTTATGTCGTGTTATTTAGGTTATTTAATGGCATTACAGCAAAGTGCTCTACTATATTTGACTCAAGGGACGCAAGTCACCCAATTTGCTTTTTCTTGCAAAGGATAACTGGAGCGTACTTCCAATGCTTTGCCGGATCGAGATCGCAAGGTATGTCGTTCCACTTGCCTCCATAGCGGTGTGGCGAGCCAAACATGTTTCCACACTTTTCGATCACCTTGTTTGGTTCGCCGCGTGCCCAAGCCGTGTAACCTTTTGCCAGTGGAGTGTCATCAATCCAGTAGAACTTGTTGTCCGCCTTGCGGACAAAACCAAGCCACACACCCCCATCGGTGATGGTTTTCTGTTTCTTGAATAAGGTGAATATGAAGTTATCCTCATCCGCTGATTTTATTATGGCGAGGTCTCCTCCAAGCATCTGACATGTTCGTCGAGCATCGCTCCAATTTAGGGTTCGAATGTTGATGATGAGGTAGCCGAAGTTTCCGTAGCGGACCCAACCATCTTGCGGACAAACTGAAAGTAAGAAAATTTTTCAGTTGATTAATAAGCCTCAAACATTAAGTCGCTCTAATAATAAGCCTCGAACAATTAGTCGCTTCTTTAATTAACTAAAAGTTTGTTTAAATTGCAAGAGTTTATACCTTTAGCGCACTGTAATTTTCAGGGAGTTCTAATAACTCCTCTAGTGGGGCTAATTTAACTCCGTACAGTGGAGTTATTTTTCGTGGAGTTATTTTAACTCCAAAAAGGAGTTTAAAGAACTCTTTTTCAGGAGTAAAAGTGACCCCAGGTATTGAGGAGTTAAAATAACCCCCAAAAAGGAGTTATCCTGTACCTAAAAT